GATGAGAACATCCAGAAAAGGTAAGGACTTATTCTCTTCCATTTCCATCGTGAACTTAATCTTCCTTTCATGCTGGTTCAGTGAAAATAGGAAATTGTTTAAATTCTCCTCACCATGAGGTCAGATGACCAAATAGTCATCCATGTATCTAACCAACAATTTAGGTGTTAATATTGCCTCTTCTAGGAAGTGTTTCTCCAATTTTGCCATATAATTGTTTGCTAGGATGGGAGACAGGCAAGATCCCATCGCTAAAGTTTTTTGACCATATTTTCATTACTTGACAGTATTGTCAAGAAGACCCAGAGGAATGCATTTTGTCCGGAGGCCATAGTATTCATTATAATTACCAGAGTTGGATTTTTGACTTGATACATTCTCAGACGTTTAGCCAGCATCGCATTTGACATCATCAATGAGCCCTTCTAGTCTTAGCTTAAAGGAAAACTCGTAAAAAAGACAAGTGAAGTTGATCCTTTGACGAATTGTTTGCCGTGTTGTGGTGCTAAGAATGGCAAGGCTCACTAACGATGCCAGTAAAACGTCTGGGAAAGCGCTAAGTCTATAATGTCCAATTCTGGAAATCATCGTGTTAGTACGACCTTGTTTTCGCAACTTGGTCGGTGCGTCAGGAAGACCTTGTGGAATGTACCTAGTCCCGTGTACCCTGCCATAGTATTAGTGATTTTCAGCATTTGACCATTGACTGGTTACACTCTCAAAACGTTTCCCTGGCATCGTAGTCGGCATCGTCAGCATTGAGTTACAATTTATCCCTAACAAGTCCAACAACTAACACGATAAAGCTAAAGGCGCTCAGAAGGCCATACCGGCATATCTACCATCTGGAAATTATCATTCATTGTCTCCTAGACAATACGACCAAGTTGCAATAAAGATGTCATACCACTTCCATACAAGGAAAGCAGACTTCGACTCTACTAAAGGCGTAATTGAGTAGGGTTTCGAGACTACCAGTAAATCAGTGTAATGAGATGTTTTCACCCTATTTCGTCTAAGGTGATGAAGGACTGGTAGTAGAATTTTCCCACAATCATATGAGTTTAGCTGACGATTCCATTGAATTTCACATAGCCTTGCTTTCCCAAAAGTTGTTCTCATCCAGGCACCAGTGGACT